CGCCTTCTAAGACGCCCTCCCCCCCTACAGTCAGCCCGCATTGTCAGGATGGGCAACCTTCCCAAGGGTACCCTTGCATCCTTGCCTCCTCGGTCCATCCTTGGCCACTTTCGTTGGCCGAGCCCCGCTCGAGAAGCTGCGAAATGGGCCTCCAAGGCCCTTGCATCCTTATCGCGAATCCTTGGGAGGGGGAGGAGGAGGAGGAGGAGGAGGAGGAGGAGGAGGAGGAGGAGGAGGAGGAGGAGGAGGAGGAGGAGGAGGCGAAGGAGGCGGACTGTACTTCCCCTCTGCGCGCCGCCACTGGCGACCCACGGCAGGGGCGCGGAGGCCTCGACGCGGCCGCCGCGCCGGCGCGGTCGCCCGTGGGGTGGGCGCCGCTCGGGGGCCGCCCTCGGGCCCGGGGAGCCCCTCGGGCAGGGCGAAAGGGGGGGATAGGGAAAGGGGGGGGGTACGAAATTTGCTGCATGCAGCTGGTTTCGGCCCCGCCGCCGGGCCCATTCCTCGATACATGGGCGCCTCCGGCGCCGGGAGACGCCGGGAAAATCAGCTACGCGAGCTGATTCTCAAACCCCCCCTTGGCTATCCCCCCCTTTCGCCCGACCCGAGCCCCGCGGGGGGCAGGCCGCCCAGCACGGCGCGCCGTGGGCGAGGTTTAGGTCGGGCGTGTCCCCCTACAGGGAGAATTTCGACGAGCAGTAACACATGATCGACATCTATTCCAAGAGTGTCACGAAATACTACACATAAATCGTCCCCAGACTATTTTTTCCCAGTTTTGAATATTCCTCCTGTAGAGGGACGGGCCCGACTCAAGGCACGGTCAACTCAGAGGAGGAAAAGGTACCCATACCTCCACCCTCCCCTCGTTTTCCCTTTTTGGGGTCTCCTGTACCTCCCTCGTCGCCACCGCTGGATTCGCCTCGAGATACTGGTCAGAACGCACCCTGGGACAGGTCCGGGGGGTAGCAGTATCCGTACCTTTTGGTGTCCCCATGAACGTCTGCGCAGCCCGCGCGCTCGATACTGCCAGCGTGGCCGAATCTCCGCACCGGTCCTGGAATCGTGACGGCTCCCCTCCTGTCCCACACAGCATCGCGTAGGCGCCGCCTGTGGATGCGATCGGTTGGAAGTCCGTTCGCTTCTTTTCTTTTCAACAAGAGAAGGAGAGACAGAAGCCCGCGGCCCGCAGTCCACGCACAAGGTGGGGTCGGCAGCCTCTGGTGGCTTCCGAGAGTGCAGTTCGTGCAGGCCTGAACAGCTCAGAGAGAGCGCGCTCGTGGCACACTCCTAACTGAACGGATGGGCCCCAGCTTCAAGCTACCCCCCCCTCCCTTGGAAGCGCGGGGGGAGCCTCCGAAGCTATCCCCCCCTCTCCCCCCCTTTGGATGGGATTTGTTCCACTTGGGGGGTGCCTCGCTAACGGGGGTTGGGGGCTTGGGCGCCCCTGCAGTTTTCGGCGCCCTTTTGCTTTTCGGCGCCCTTTGGCTTTCGGCGCCCCTCTGGTTTTCGGCGCCCTTTGGCTTTCGGCGCGCCGTTGGTGTGTGGCGCCCTTCGGTCTTCGATGCTTTTTTGGTGATCGGCGCGTCTTTGTTTTTTCGGCGCCACTTTTGTTTTCGGCGTCTCGTTGGTTTCCGGCGCCCCTTTGTTCTGCGGCGCCTCTTTGGAGTTCGGCGCTCCTGCGGTCTTCGGCGCCCCTTTTTGGTTTTCGGCGCCCTTTTTGTTCTCGGCGCCCTGTCCGTCTTTGGAACTTCTGCTGTTTTCGGCGCCCCTTTCGTTTTCGGGGCCCTGTTGGTTATCAGCGCCCCTTTGATTTTCGGCGCCATTTTGGTTTTCGGCGCATCTTTGGTTTTCGGCGCCCGTTTGGTTTTCGGTGCTCTGTTTGATTTTCGGCGCCCCCTTGGGCGCACCTTTGGATTTCGGCGCACCTTTGATTTTCGGCGCCTTTTTGGTTTTCGGTGTCCTTGTGGTGTTCGGCGCTGCTTTCTTGTGTTCGGCGCTGCCATGGTTTTCGTTCTCCGTTTGGTTTTCTGCGCCCCCTTGGGTTTCGGCGCCCCTAGGGTTTTCGGCGCCTCGTTGATTCTCGGCGTTCGTGACGTTTTTGGCGCCTTTGGGTTTTCGGCGCCCGTTTGCTTTTCGGCGCTCTTTTGGTTTTCACCTCACACTTGGCTTTTGGCTCTCTTTGGGTTGTCGGCGCCCTTTTGGTTTTCGGCGCCCGCCTTGGTTTTCGGCTCTCCCTTGGTTTTCGATGGTTTTCTGCGCATTCGCGGTTTTCGGCGTTCCTTCGGTTTTCGGCGCGCTTGTGGTGGTCGCACTCTTTCGGTTTTCGGTGGCTCTTTGGCTACTGGCGCTCTGTTGCTTTTCGGCGCGCCTTTGGTCTTCGGCGCTCCTTCCTTCAGCTACAGGTGGGGAGGCTGCCAAGCCCCCCCCCCTTTAGCCCAAAAGGGGAGGAGGGGGGGGGGTTCTGGGGGAGGGGGGTAGCTAAGCCTCCCCGCCCTTTGGAAAAAGAGGGGGGGTAGCTTCCGGAGCGCGACAGGGTGGAAGGGGGGCGGGTAGCTTGCGGGGGGCAGAAATTACGCTACCGAGGAACCCCACATATTTAATTTAAATATTATGTGTTTGCTTATGTTTTATATATATATATATATATATATATATATATATATGCACAGTCCTGCGTTCTGGGCCCTCGTCGCGAATGTTCCCTGCTAGGCGTTGCGCCAGTGTCGTGGATAGCGGCCGAGCTGAGAGACCACCCCCTGCGCACCCCCTGTGGTGTCGCGAAAGTGCCACGCCTGCTAGCCTTTGCGCCAGCTGAGAGACCACCCCCTGCGCACCCCCTGTGGTGTCGAGAAAGTGCCACGGCTGCTAGGCTTTGCGCCAGTGTCGTGGATGGCGGCCGAGCTGAGAGACCACCCCCTGCGCACCCCCTGTGGTGTCGAGAAAGTGCCACGCCTGCTAGGCTTTGCGCCAGTGTCGTGGATAGCGGCCGAGCTGAGAGACCACCCCCTGCGCACCTCCTGTGGTGTCGAGAAAGTGCCACGCCTGCTAGGCTTTGCGCCAGTGTCGTGGCGGCCGAGCTGAGAGACCACCCCCTGCGCACCTCGTGTGGTGTCGAGACAGTGCCACGCCTGCTAGGCTTTGCGCCAGTGTCGTGGATAGCGGCCGAGCTGAGAGACCACCCCCTGCGCACCCCCATGTGGTGTCGAGAATGTGCCGCGCCTGCCACGCCCTGCGAGCGTGTCACGGATAGAGGCCCCGCTGAGGGACCACCGTCTGCGCCCCCCCAGTGGCGTCGAGAAAGTGAATGTTCCGCGCCTGCCACGCCCTGCGAGCGTGTCACGGATAGAGGCCCCGCTGAGGGACCACCCTTTGCGCCCCCCCAGTGGTGTCGAGAAAGTGCCGCGCCTGCCACGCTCTGCGAGCGTGTCACGGATAGAGGCCGCACTGAGGGACCACCCTTTGCGCACCCCCATGCGATGTCGAGAATGTGCCGCGCCTGCCACGCCCTGCGAGCGTGTCACGGATAGAGGCCCCGCTGAGAACGCGGGTGCGACGCGGGTGTAGAGAAAATCTGAACCCCACTTAGAATGCGTTACATATCAGGATGCTCGAGGTCAAAGACATGTGTCCCATATGTCGATCTGTGGAGCTCCCCACCCCATGCGCCGCCCTCTGGCGTCAAGGAACCGTTACGCCTGACACGCCCTGGAAGCCTGAAAGAGAGAGCGCCCCCAACTCCTGCCACACCCCTGCGAGCGTATCACGGATAGAGGCCGCACTGAGGGACCACCCTCTGCGCACCCCCATGCGATGTCGAGAATGTGCCGCGCCTGCCACGCCCTGCGAGCGTGTCACGGATAGAGGCCCCGCTGAGGGACCACCCTCTGCGCCCCCCCAGCGGCGTCGAGAAAGTGCCGCGCCTGCCACGCTCTGCGAGCGTGTCACGGATAGAGGCCACACTGAGGGACCACCCTCTGCGCACCCCCATGTGATGTCGAGAATGTGCCGCGCCTGCCACGCCCTGCGAGCGTGTCACGGATAGAGGCCCCGCTGAGGGACCACCCTTTGCGCCCCCCCCAGTGGTGTCGAGAAAGTGCCGCGCCTGCCACGCCCTGCGAGCGTGTCACGGATAGAGGCCCCGCTGAGGGACCACCCTCTGCGCACCCCCATGTGATGTCGAGAAAGTGCCGCTCCTACCACGATTTGCGAGCGCGTCACGGATAGAGGCTGCGCTGAGGGACCACCCTCTGCGCACTCTCTGTGGTGTGGTGGTGTGTGGTGTGGCGTGGTGTGGTGTGGTGCGATGTGGCGTGGTGTGGTGTGGTGTGTGTACGAGCGAGAAGGAGGAGGTGAGGTGGGAACGCAGGTGTGACGCGGGTGTAGAGAAGGGGAGGTGAGTGAACGCGGGTGCGACGCGGGTGTAGAGAAAATCAGAACCCCACTCAGAATGTGGGGAAAAAGAAGGAGGGAGGGCTTCGGGCAGGGAAGGTGCAGGGGGGGGGGGGAGCTTCCGGAGCGCGAAAGGGAGGGGGAGGAGCAGAACCAAAATGGCGGGGGGGGGGCTTTTGGTAGGCGAGGTCCAAGTGGGGGGGGGTAGCTGAGGGGGGACCCCCCTCCTTGGGAGTGTACCACGAGCGCGCTCTCTCACAGCTCGCGCGGGGGCAGCAAGACCAGCGCCCAGTCTTCAGTGTCCGTGCTGCGGGATAGCCCCCTTGAGGGGCAGCGGTTTCTCCCTCCTGCCACGCTTTGCTGCAACGGACCCACGTTGTCGCAGCAGGAGTCTGCCATGCGCGCTGGTCCAGGTTGGGGCAATCATGGGCCCAGGATCGGTAGACGCGCCCCCAGGGCTTGGCCAGGATCGCTACTGTAATTGTGGATAGCTGGTGCCCCCCGACATCCTGTCCCCCGCGGTGTCGTTCGACGCCATCAAGCAGACCAATGCCAATCTGGGCGCACTCTTCGATGCGCTGGGTGTGCTTCGTGAGGAGGGCCTAGAAGCCATGGGCGTTCAGCAGCAGAACATCCGCGTCCAAATCTCGGAGAAGATCATCGAAGGGGTGGCAGGGGCGCTGCCAGGGAAGCTGGAGGAGCAGCTCAATGCCAAGGTGAAGCAGTTCGACGAGGACGTGTTCGAGGCCGTCCAGCGCATGGGGCCTGCGGGGCGCTGCTGCGAATCTGGGTCCAGCGCCCCTGGCTCATTCTTCTGGACCTCGCGCCGCAAAAGTCGCAGCACCCGCACATCCCCAGACGCGTCAACACGACACGGCGGCATGTCTTCCCTGTGTCGACACCTCTGGAGGCACGGTCCAACAGAAATAGCCCGAGGCTGACAACCTGGGACCTAGGGGGGGTGGGGTCGACAGGTCGGGAGGGCCCACGACGTCGGAGATAGGGGCGCCCCACCCCCTCCTTCCCCCTCCTCCCCCCTCCTCCCCCCTCAAGAAGAGGCAGGAGGGGAGGCGAATGAGCAGTGCAGCGTCCCAGATGTCCGGCGCCTCCGTCTGTTCGACGTGTGGGCCTCCAGGCCCCTCGATTCACCAGGGCCGACGCGTCCTCCCGAGCAGATCTCAAACGGCCCCGAGGCCCGAAGCCGGCCCCCAGAGGAGGAAGCACGCAGAGCTGCCGCCCAGCATTGTTCCAGGCGCCGGATGTCTGCGCATTGGCCCCTTGCACCCCCATCAGCGGCAATGATAGGGGGGGGGGGATAGGCATAGGGGGGGCTGCATCGATCCCCCAATCGCCCCTTGCTCGTCGATAGGGGCCCGATAGCCCCACCCCGCCCAGGAAGGTGCGGATTCACTATCGGGGGCCTATCGCCGATCTATCGGCGATGTGTCGCCGATTCCAGGTCGATGCATCCCACCCCATGCCGACCCCCCCCCCCTGTCGTTGCCCCTTGCACCCAGGATTTCGGCGGAGCACCTCAAGAGCGGCAAGAGCTGCCCGTACGTGGGGCTGTCGCAGGGCCCGGCGCTGGGCCCGTGCGTCTACAGCAGGTTTTCTGGAGGCAGGAAGAGGGGTGTGGTGTAAAAGGGGTGTGGTGCCAAAGCTGGATTGGCGAGGTCATCGATCGTAGATAGCATCGCCATTTCCACCAGTGGCACCGCACTCCTTTCTCGCAGGCCCAGAGGTTGACACCAACACCAATGTCGGCGTTGTGCCTCCTCCGAGGGAAGAAGATCCCGATCTCGGTGATGGTGTTGATATGTCTGGCTTCCAAGGTGACCGAACTATTGCCACCAACACCGGAATTTTAGGATCATCTTCCCCCTGTGGAGGCAACCCCTTGTGTCGGGGGTGGACAGACCTCCTACCCTGACACGTCGATTAGCGAATTAGCAGGTTTCGGTTCACGAGAGGGTGTCGCGGCCGTCATTTTTGCGGGTCCAGGCCCGTCGGTGTCGGTCCCAGGTCGTTTTCACTAAGGGGAGGTTTACTAGAGGGAGGCTTGTCCACCGCCGAGCAACCCCTTGTGTCATGATGTTCCAACCTACTGTAGCCTCAAGAAAACGAAACTCGAAGGTTTCACGTGTCGGGCCCTGGGAGACACTCTTCAGACACTGTCTCGACGCTCTTTCGACGCTCTTTTGACACTCTTCCGGGTGCTCGAAATTATTTCGGGGATGTGGTCCTGAAGTGCCCGTCCGGGAGCGTGGGCTTCTGCTCGGCGCCGCCGAGCAGAAGTCCACGCTCCCGGACGGGGTGGGCCATCGCCCCCCACACCGGCGATCCGTGGGCAGCCGACGGGGCAGAAGACGCCCCAGGCCGCGGGTCGGCGCATCCCCCTCCGCCCCCCCTGGAGCCCATCCCCCCCCAAGCGTCTTCCCCCGAGGAGAGCGCGGCGCAAGCCTTCGCTTTGTACAGCTTCTGCCTGGTGTTGGTGTTGGTGCCCACTTCCGGGCCTCCAACTTTCGGAGGTGGGCAGACCTCCTACCCTGACACGTCGAGTAAGGAATTGGCCGTTCTCGGTTCGCGAGAGGGCGTCGCGGCCGTCATTTTTGCGGGTCCAGGTCCTTCGATTTCGGCCCTGGGTCGTGTTCACCAAGGGGAGGTTTACCATAGGGAGGTTTGTCCACCGCCGAAACTTTCTGCCGCACCCCCTTGCCAGCCTCCAGAGGTTCGTGGGCCCCGTGCGGGGCCCTCCCGCGGGGGTCGTGCAGACCCAGGGCACCGGGCCGGCCAAGGCCGTGGGGGGCTCGAGGCCCAGCCTGGCGGCGGCCTCCTCCTCCTCCCTCCTCCTCCTCCTCGTCCACGTCCTCCTCCTCCTCCTCCTTCTCCTTTCTCCTCCTCCCTCCTCCCTCCGCCTTCTCCTCCTCCTCCTCCTTCTCCTCCCTCCTTTCTCCCCCTCCCTTCTCCTACCTCCTCCTCCCTTCTCCTCCCCCCCCTCCCCCTCCTCCTCCTCCTCCTCCTCCTCCTCCTCCTCCTCCTCCTCCTCCTCCTCCATCCTCCTCCTCCTCCTCCCTCCTCCTCCTCCTCTCCTCCTCCCTCCACGCTCCCTCCTCCCTCCTCCTCCTCCTCCTCCTCCTCCTCCTCCTCCTCCTCCTCCTCCTCCTCCCCTCCTCCTCCTCCTCCTCCTCCTCCTCCTCCTCCTCCTCCTCCTCCTCCTCCTCCTCCTCCTCCTCCTCCGCCTCCTCCTCCTCCTCCTCCTCCTCCTCCTCCTCCCTCCTCCTCCTCCTCTCTCTTTCACCTCCTCCTCCTCCTCCTCCTCATCCTCCCTCCTCCTCCTCCTCGGCTTCGTCAACGCGCAGAGGGGGGTGACCCTTGCATCCTCCCCCTCGGCCCATCCTTGGCCGCTTTCGCTGGCCGCGCCCCGCCCGCAACGCGTCGACATGGCCCTCCAAGGCCCTTGCGTCCTTTTCCACGCGTCCTTACTGTTCGTGTTGCTCTAGCCGCGGCGGCTGAGTTTTCGCCTGTCAGCGCGGTGTCAAAAGCAGCGCCGACGCCCTTGCGAACCCGCCGCAATTATTGCTTAGCGCTCCCGAGGGGAATTGGCAAAGCCGCAGGTGGGGGGTATGTTTGGCGCCTGTCGCATATCGGCCACGCGCAGAGGGGGGTATGGGGGAGGGGGGAAGGCTTCTCAGAAGCACCCCTGCTTCTTAGAAGCCTTCCCCCTCCCCCTTGTCCCCTTCTGCGCGTCGCCAGCGGCTGCCGAGGGGCGCTCCCTGGAGAAGGGGGGGGATCATCGGAAGCAGGCTCATATACGTCACCAGTGGCGGTCTGTGCTCCGATCCCAGAGTTTTCTGAGTGCCGGGGGCGGCGTTGGGGTGGTGTGGTGTATGCCTCTTTTCCCCGTTTCCCGGGGGAGCACGGGAAAATGTATACAGTCGACCCGCATAGTAAGGATGATCGATGTTCCAAGGGTACACCCCAGGCGATGCTTAAGAAAACTTACGTTTTCGGCCAGAGTCTCGATGATTCTTAATGTTTCAATGTAAGTGTTAAAAAAATGCTGGGTTTGTACTCAGATTCTGAGACCATGAATTTCTGAACCCATGGTTTCTTGAGCATTTCGCAGGGTGTACCTTTGCATCCTTGCCCCTTCGGCCCATCCTTAGCTTCTTCCGCTGGCCAACCTCGCTGGACCACGTGAACACGGCCCTGCAAGGCCCTTGCATCCTTACTGCGCATCCCTATTATACGGGTTGACTGTACACCAGGTTCCCGTATGCACCATAATCTGTTCTCTAGTACAGATCTCAGTGCAGGGCCGGGAAAGGCGTCGGCGAACAGCGAGCGCCTAGAATAAGGAACAGTTACTCTTCAAAAGGGGCTCGGTCGTTCCTCAGGTCCGCATGCATGATTTATCGTTGCTTATGCGTTATGTTTCATGTCTATCGCTCCTTGTGCGTTACTCCTTGGGGAAAAAAGGGCTTCGTTCCTTATGTATCGTTCCCTAGGGCAGGCCGATGGCTGTATGCAGAGAGTTCGTTCCCCCCAGGGCGTTATGTTTTATGTATTGGTCCGTGTGCGTTATTCCTTGGGGAAAAAACAGGGTTGCGTTCCTTATGTATCGTTCCTTAGGTCGGGCCGATGATTGTATGCAGAGAGTTCGTTCCCCCCAGAGCGTTATGTTTTATGTATCGGTCCGTGTGCGTCACTCCTTGGGGAACAAACAGGGTTGCGCTCCTTATTTATCGTTCCTTAGGTCGGGCCGACGACTGTATGCAGAGAGTTTGCTCCTCCCAGAGCGTTATGTCTTATGTATCGTTCCGTGTGCGTCATTCCTTGGGGAAAAAACAGGGTTGCATTCCTTATGTATCGTTCCCTAGGGCAGGCCGACGACTGTATGCAGAGAGTTCGTTCCCCCCAGGGCGTTGTGTTTTATGTATCGGTCCGTGTGCGTTAGCCCTTGGGGAAAAAACAGGGTTGCGTTCCTTATGTATCGTTCCTTAGGTCGGGCCGACGACTGTATGCAAAGAGTTCGCTCCCCCCAGAGCGTTATGCGTTCCTTATGTATCGTTCCTTAGGTCGGGCCGACGACTGTATGCAGAGAGCTCGCTCCCCTCAGAGCGGGGAGCACACCGCCCCGCCCGGAGCAGCTCGAGGTGCAGCGAGCCCGGGGTGGAGCACGGGGGGGGGGGGCGTGCAGGTCTCCTCCCCCTCCTCCTCCTCCTCCTCCTCCTCCTCCTCCTCCTCCTCCTCCTCCTCCTCCTCCTAAGCCCTTCCTGCTCAGGCCAGGGGGATTGGGGCTCCCTGTCAGGATCCGATGCAGGCTACACCCCTACCGCCTGAAGCCCCAGCTCCCGCCCACCATGTGGGCCTCTCTCCTGCAAACAGTTCTCTATAACCCACTCTCTCTTAGCGACACATGGCGGGCACACGAGGTTTCTTCTCGATTGAGCTTCGCAGACCTGATACTGTTGCCAGGGACACAGCAGCGCCGCCGCGCAGGAGACCCCCCGACCAGGATGAGGCTGGAGAAGCACACGATGGTGCAGTTCGGGTGGCAGCGGGGGAGGTACACAAATAAGAGCGCGGGATGCGCTATCATGCTTAGACGACGGGCCTTCAGGGAGGCCCACGTTCATGAGATTCTGGAGCCACCTCGAGAACTGGCGGGGCGGGGAGGGGCAGTTCGACTCAAAAGCCCAACCCTCGACATTATGGTGGTGGTGGCCTACTTCCCGCCCCCACAGAGACACCAGATCGACCATTGGAATACGACATGTGCCAAGCTCGAGGCGTGGCTTCATAGGACGATACAGAGAGCACGAGCACGCTGCATGATAGTCGTGGGAGCGGATACGAACTCCGAGTTCGGTCGACGAAGTGGGCCCAACGGCACCCCGACGACCACGCGCGACGACGTCCATGTCGGCCCGTTCGCCAACAGCTACGAGAATGGGGTGGGTGCAGCATTGTGGCGCATGATGAGCATGGAAGGATTGGCAGCGATCGACACCTTTTACGACACGGGGCCAACCTACTTCGGGGCCGAAGCTCACATCACCTCGCACCCTGACCACCTATGGGGACCGTGCGACGCTGTGCAGGCTACCAGATCGTGTGTTTGTCTCAGAAGAGCGATGCGTGATCTGCAACGTATACCTTCACCTTTGCTTCGAGATCATTGCCCCATGTTGTGGAGAGTACACTACAGGTTGAAGACGGCACCTCATCCTGATGGACAGCGCCTTCGGTGGAACAGAGATCTCATGGGACAAGCACTGAACCGCCGAGGAGCCCCCGAGTTTATTGCGGAGCTGGAGAGAAGATGCGAGAGTTCGGTGAGAGCGTGGCGAAGCTATCTTAGAGCAGACGACCCCTCGCTCTCCTGGTTTCACTTGGTGGCGGACATCACGGAGGCAGCACAGACAGAGTTCTTGGAGACCAAGTCGAGGGGGCAGTCGGCTGCATATCGAGAGGAGAGAGATCGACTTCTGGCAATGAGGCGGCAGCTCAGTGTTCACTTTAGGAAAGAGGATCGACTTAGACTTCGGGCTTGCGATAGAGAGATCAAACGTGTACGCAGCAGGCTGGACAGAGAGAACGTAGAGGCGCTGCTGAAGGAGGCACAAGTGGCCTCGGGCCGAGGCCACACCAGCACTGTTTGGAAGCTCGCCTTTCAGATCGGGGCGCGCTATCACGGGGTGCGGGGACGACGTTTCAACCTGATCCCTACGTACGCCCCGACGCTGCAAGAGTGGCAGGACACGCTGGAGTCGGACGCGAAGGAGGGGGGCTTCTCTGCTGTTCGTCTACGCGGACCAGGCATCCCTCGCAGCGTGGCACTGGCTACGAGAGCGACTGAAGACCCAGATGGGGAGTGGAAAGATCTACGAGGACGACCTGGGTCGGCCGCCTACGACGACTGGACGAACACGTTGCTCCGTCTTGAGAAGGCGGCCAGGCGCAGGTATTCCCCCCCGCACTCCGCCCCCAGCGAGGTGTGGCTCATGGCGATGAGGGCGGCTACTCGAGAAGCGAGAGGAGAACCAGCTGATGAAGATCCTCACGAGAGAAGGCAGCGAGTTCAGGTCCCCTGTCCACGACTGGCGGAGCGCATGTTTGAGATCCTGAGGCAGATTCGTAATGCGTGTCGCACACCCTACCAGTGGCACTGGTCAAAGACGTTCCAGTTGAGCAAGGGCAATGACAAGAGGGGCACCAAGGCGATGCGACTCATACACTGCTACTGCCCGTTCGGCAAAGCTTGGTACAGCGGCATATTGGTTCGACACGAACGCTCAAGACTTCCATTACACGCACATGGATATGCAGCGCACAGGTCGAGGCAGAACGCGCAGCTGGTGGCAAAACTTCACTCGTGGAGATTACGAAAGAAGCTCGTCTCGCACCTGCAGATCAAGAAAGATAGGAGCAACGCGTTCCCCTCGACAGATCACAACCTCCTGGAGCAGGTGATTGGGGAAGCGGTCCCTGACATGCAGGACCAACTCTTCTTGCACCAGAGGATTCGCGAGGCGGTCATCGAGGTTGAGGCAGGAGAAGAAAAGGGCTTCTTTCAACCCGCCCACGGCGCGGGCATGGGCGACGGCAATGCGCGTGAGCTGTTCGTACGGTCGTTTGTCAAGCCGCTGGAGGTGTGGAACCAGATCCCCCTGCAGGGCACCCAGGCCACCTTAGATACGGAAAGCGGCGGCTCCGTGCCGATGATGGAGGCGGCGACGCTGATTGACTCGCCCATCCACACCGAGCAGATCGACATCTCCATGCGCGACTA